GCACATGAATCGACCTGGACTCGCTCCCATACAACGATACTGAGCGCGAACTGATGCGTTATAAACGCGGCCCTTTAGTGAGAATGAGACGTCGCGACGCCGCCGCAAGTGCCTCAGATTGACAAATGCTGATCGGGTTTTAGCGATGCGAAGAAGCTTCAGCAGAAACAAAGCTCACAAGGTGGACGAAACTATCTACCTGTTAAAGTTGTGCATCTTCAAGAGTGAGTACGGGAGCAGGTGTAAGCCAATCCTGGAGCAGTAATTTACACTTCGATGGAGTGAAGCTAATGTCATACTTAGATGCTTCAACCGCCAAACGATCTATAATGAGTTGCATACCCTGAGGATCGTCACCAAGTAAGGCGATATCATCAGCATAATCTAAGTCGGTCACGCGCTCACTCGATAGAAGCTCTAGGCCAAAAAGTTGGAAACCTTTTAGAGCACTCGACAGAACGTCTTCGATCGCGAAGTTGAATGGGAATGGGGACATAGGACAGCCCTGTGGCACAACGCTATTGACAGCGAACTGCGTGGAAAGCTTGCGATAGACCCTCATTCTGCCGGATGTATGAAGGTAAAGTTCACCTAAGATGACGATATATATCTATGGCACCCCGACCTTTAGCAAGCAACGCCATAAAGCAGGTCGATCAACGGAGTCAAAGTGGCACGTATGTCTAGGAATGTAACGATATTGGGCCTGTGAAAAATGTGACGATGTTCGAGGAGCTGGCCGAGCGTGAAGATTTGATCCACGCATCCGCGGCCGGGACGGAAACCAGCTTGTTCTTCACGATAGGATGATTCACGTATTGGGGATAGTCTACGGAGCAGAATGGATGCCAAGAGCATGGAGGCAACCGAAATAAGACTAATCGCGCGATGATTTACACATGAAGTGCGAGCGCCTTTCTTGAAATTCGGGATAACAACTGATTCGCCCCAAGAGGAAGGCACTTTCACTTCATGCCAAATTTTTGCGAACAGCAAGGTCAGCTGGTTAATGATCGCCACACCACCGTTCTTGAATAGCTCCGGAAGAAGTCCGTCTGAGCCGGCTGTATTGAACCGCTTCAAGCGTCGAATCTCAAGGCAGACTTCCGCTTCACTGGGACGAGCCATGGTGGACTATAAGGTGTAGTGCATGTACCAATGGACGGTGGAGACCAGTTGAAGTGCGAGTGAAAGTGCTCGGCCCAGAGGTCAATACGCCTCTTTTGGGTGGTGATCGGAGGCTCATCCACCTCGCAAATGACCTCACTGACACCAGGCTTCCTGAAGCCAGTGGACCGAATAAGTTGAAAAAGCTTGTAAGTGTTGCCAGAGAGGGCAGCAGTCTCCATCTGTAAAGCACGCTCAGAGCACCATGCCTCGCGATCCTTGTGTAGACTTGGCATGAGCAGCCGGTTGGCAGAATGGCGCCGCTCGTTGCAATCTAATTCTGCGGGATATTTTTGCGGCGTTCGAACAGCTCCAGAGAACAAGCAGAGATCCAAGCCGTCAGAGGGCATCGAGCTAGGCCGCAGCTTGACTGTCCAGAAATGGCCATCGCTTTCCGTATACAAGTCCAGTGTTGTTCCACTTCTTGCGGTGGAATGCAACTGAGTGCGCATGCTAGTGAAGACTGATAGCTCGCCTGGACAGAGGAATCATTAAATCTGTTTACATCAAGCTTGCGGTGCTTCGTGTTTCGGGACCCCACAAAACACATACAGATTTTCGTGCAGACCAGTGCATGACCTGAGTCAACGAAGCTGGACCAAAAGGGCCTGCAGTCCACTACGTTGTCGCGCCATCTGAAGTTAATTGCAATGTGATCAATTTGAGACCACGGTTGTGTTGAAGAAGGGGACGCCACGTTGCGGGATGCTTCTTCGTACGCCTGAAGTTAGTGCTCGAGAGAAACAGATGGTTGTCTATGCACAATGTGAGAAGCCTCTCTCCGTTATCAGAGCGGTTCTCATTGAGCGCGTGTTGACCACCAAGGTGGCGTTCGTATGGTAACAGGCGGCCAACCCGTGCATTAAAATCCCCAGCAAGGATAACGACATCCGACTTTTACCATTAGACAAGAGCTGTTGTAGATCCCGATAGCATTCGTCCTTGACCGAGTCGCCACTGCAGTCAGTTGGAGCGTACACGGAGATCACAAACAAGTTGTGCCGCTCTTCGCGGTGCCTGATGCTTCTACATGAACCCCGAAGTCGAACTGCACATAGTCGGCTGTTAATAGGGAACCAGTCCAGTAGTGCCACCTCGGCCTTGCCACTTAGTGCTATACCTACACCAGCCAAACCCGCTGAAACTGCTTCTGGATCTCCAGAAAGACGCAGGTGATATCTGGTTTCGTGCTCAGTGGGGAATGTCAATGTAAGCACAGTGCTGGGATCTTGCAATCGGGTTTCTGAAAGGCAGCAGATATCAATATCGAGGGACTCTAGGGTGCGCGCCAGAGCGCCTTGCTGTCCAATCTGCATGTGTGTCCGAAAATTGAGGCACGCCAGACGGAATGAGGATCGGGGACGAAGAAGAGCCATAGGTTGAACTCCGTGGTTTGCGGCGCCACCGGAATCACAGCCAGATTGCTGAACACATGAATCGGGTACCGGAAAGTAAGAATTATTAGCAATCAAATAATTGGCGTGTGATAAAGTAGCGTGAAAGTGACTAGCAAAAGCAGTAGTTGATGAGCACGTTGTAATACAGTCCATGGTTTTGTGAGAGGGCGTGATACTACCCGGTTGCCCAAGCCGAAGTAGAGAGTTGATTTAGGGGACTCCACCACGAGTCTTTGGCTAAATAACCTACCCGCAAGGCTGCTAGGCGAATTCAGGGAATCGCACCCATTGGGAGGTACTGGCTGGATGTTTAGTTCATGCGTCTTTAGTTTGGTAGATCACCAAACAGGGGCCCAATACTCCCCATGAAATCAGCACAATTGCTGGCATACAATGCCCCACCGAGTTGGAACACTGTGGCCGAACAGTTCGCCGGAACGGGGTACACCCGAACCATCCAGCTGGCACCACGAGGAGGTAGTTCGGCAAGTCAGCTCATATAGGACTTGTTACGTCCAAGTCCCAGATGGATTCAAACAGCCCACTCAACAGTTCTCAAATACCAGACTGCGTGAATTGCTCTTCAAAGTACTCGGATCGGTGTTTTAAGCAACGCGACTGAAAGTGGATTTGTTGTCTAAGTTCTTCAACTATTATTTCATTCACGCGAAACCTTTTTGGGTAGGTGTGTCGGATGAGGTGGAACAACACTGGCGTTCCCGATGAAGCAGGTCTTCGTCATCCACCACTGCTTCCGGCCAATCTTCAGACTCCTGGTAGGACATATCAATGCGCTAACAGTAGTTTGGAACGTACTCTCCGATGGAACCGCGTTTCGTGCTGCAATCGGGCTGCTCGAAGCTCCCATAATCCATCGACTATCCGGGCGCTTTAATCCAAGTGGACAAGAAACCTCAGGTGTACTTTGCATAGTCTACTGAAAACGAGCCCAGTCATCATTTGGTTGGTCTATATTGTTTGGTGCTGAGAATGGAGGCTGCAATTTATATTAATATTGTGGCTAAGCTGATTGAGAATACAGCCGAGTAAGATGGACTTTCGAACATAAACGACTAACTGGAACAGGAGGAGCGGGCGTAACGTGGACACACACAAGAGCATGGTCGGAGCCGAAACAAATGCGTCAGATCGGTTGACAATCTTGCCCTGATGTGCACCATCTATGCCTAATGGCGATGTGGTCAAGTTGAGTCTAGAGCAGCCTGTTGTTCGGTGGCCACTGCAAAACTCTTTGTGAACACTTTTGCTGGAGAACGGTGCTGATTACATAGTTGTGGTAGGCGCGCAGTCAAGTAAAGTGATCATTCATGTCGGTGTTACAAGTACCGAACCCGAATCGACCTACGAGGCGATGATCTGATTCCGATGGTCAATCGCATTTTCATCTGCGACGATGGCGATCTCTATGCTTTTAGCAACTCGGATAAGAGGGCAGAAGCTTACAGTAGATTCGGCTGTGAAGTGTTATGGACAACAGTTGGTGGGTGCGTAAAGCGAAACAACAACAAAATGCTATCTGGATTTCGGTCACCGAGAGAAAAATAATGGAGCAAAGCCAAGTAGATTAGCGGTTTATTAATTCGTTTGGGCATGGGATCGTCGTAGTAGTCATGTCAATTAGACAGCGAGAATGGGCGAGGCGCACGAGATGAAGCCAACGAGGTCCGAGCCGGATCAAAGGTATACAAGTCAAACAGCATCGACCTCGTGAACATCGAAGGAAAAGAGGCACTGCGAACGATCCCCTGAAATTCTGATTCATACCTTAAGGCTGCCGGGTCAACGGAGATTCTTGAAACACCGAAGCAGCTGGGAAGTTTGAATCGGGGAGATAACGATATATTTGCCTATTGAAACTGGACAACGCAATTCGGAAGAGGGACGCTGGAAATAAGCAAGTTTATTTGTACGAACAGAGAAATGTAACACATAGGAAACCGAAAACCGCTTTAGGATTATGTGAGCGTGAGTAAAGCTCATGTTAGTGATAACCTTTCCACGCACTAATAGTAGAGAACTGATCTGTTGTTTGTTAGTCGGAATTCCCTAAATGTAAGCGTGCTTGCAGCAACTAGCTAGATTTACTCGAAAGGTAACAATAAGTTTGAGAAAGCATGTATATGGCGAACCGAGTTCACCACGGCGCCTAAGCAACACACACAGCGGCATGTTCTGGATAGAAATCCGGCTACGTGTGCGACACAACGGAGCGAAAAACGGTGCAGCGAGATCAAATAAAAGAAACGATGCATATGGATGAGTTTAAGCTGTAAATGAATATTCCGGCCTTATAAAGGCTGAACACCAAGCTATCAAATTGGCGAAGAGATTGGTGATCGGACCACAACCATTCAATTTCGATGTGTTGCATGGTCACAAGAGTAAATGAATTAAAAACTGCAATCGTAAACATACGCGTTGTTCGGGCCACAAGATAGGGGAATACAAGGGAATCGGGTTGGAAGGAGTTCCAACGGGATTATGAAATTCCTCACTGGGGTGAATGCCATTGACTGGAACACGATCGATCTCCAAATGCTCCAAGGAATCGTGAAAAACTTCGAAAGTTGGACCATTAGGTTCAATCTGCAGAGGGTTTAATCAGATTCCACTCATAAGCGTCATAGCTGAAGTAGCCGAAGATGAGGAGAGGTAAGCAACGGTACTGACAAATCGAACCAAATAAGCAAGTAAACAGTGGGTGCTGCTCTTCGAAAAAATAACTGAGTAGGCGGACGCAGAGCGTTTCTTGCTTCAGAATGCACTTCGCACCTTCAAAATGTAGGACACTGCCCAGCAATGGGTTGCCATGCCAATCGTTCTCAAAATCAGTAAGGAAAATAGAAGTGGCTGAACCGTTCACATGCCTAGATGACTCACATTTGGCTGAACACGTTGGAGATTACTGTATATGTGGTTTTCAAACGCTGCTATCATTAATAAAGGCGGCAATACAACAGTTTATCGACAGGGTGGATAACGCCGTAGAGTAGTTAATATTACTATGTGCACCAGAGACATGGGTACTGCGCGCTCAAAGCGCCAGATTTTTAGCCGTCTTTAACCACTGGTGTTTACAAACGAGTGTCCATATCTGTTGAAAGTAATGAATTAGTAATGCCGAAATCAGTTGCACCTCGATGGCAAATCCCCTGGTGGTCCACTGCACGGGTGGTTGAGCGCCAATCATCCACGCTTGTTAAGTCATGCTATTCGCGCTTGCAATGATAAGCCACTCCGATAGATTAAAAGCTATTGTTGCGACAGGATGGGCGAAGCTAATCGAGGACTTAACAAAAAGGTGCGTGGAGTATCTCAGTTGGGTTGATGCGTGCTGTCCTCCCTGGATGAGAACTGTAAGATCAGTCAAGTAGGTGGTCAAAGTGGACTTTACGACAAAAGTTCAATTAAGAAATCAGCAGCGCTCTTGCATTCAACCCTCCGCTTCCGACAATTAGCACTTTCATCTAGTAATTGCTGATACTTTCTATCTGACTTTCTCTAAATGAAGAAAGCAATTCTTCCGACTAGTTTTCACGTTCTCGTTTAACAAGTATTGTGACGGTGATGCGAGTTAAGTCAGTTAGATGCGCAACGCTCCCGTACACGGACAACAAATAATCTGTTAAACCTAGCTGAGGGGCCAGATGACACAACAACAACGGTAGTAAGAACTTACGGAGAGAACGACCAACTTAGTCACCAGTCTCGAATCCAACATAGTTTCGCCGAGTAGCACAGTTTGATTTGAAGACTGTGTTGCGCCACAGTCACGAAGCCGCCAATGCCAACCACCAAGATCGGTAGATCTCGCCAGCGATCTTGACCACAATGCATTGCCAAGAGTAGTGGGACCTAGGTTAAGCGATGTCACGGGTTTCTTCAGCATGAGCAGAACTTGTCCACCATCCGCAATAAATTCGCTTATCTGCGTAAGGAAGGAACGGAATGAAAAAGAAGTGAGAGAGGAAAAAGTGGTGAAACATGCCTTGAGTAAACCCGGAGAGCGACAGCCGAAATTGGATGTCCACACGCATCAAACGAGCTTGTTCAGCCACTGATGAGTGTGAGGCATCACTGAGATGTGGAGCGTACTAATATTCGTAATTTGGTGTTTAACAATTGCTCACCTGAGGCCGCGCTGGAGTGTCCATTAAGCTTAAGCCACAGACGCGGACCAAGTCACATCCTTCACATACCCGCCGATCGGTTGTACTGGTATCTCTTGCACAAGCACAGTAGTTAGCGTACGATGTGGTAGAAAGACGAGCAGACAGGCAACGACCGTTAGGTTGGTGCGCATCGTCTCCCTATATGAAGCTCTGGAGATCTGATATAGAATACTCTCGAAATCATGGGCATCTTTGTATTCGTTCTCTAAGCTTTAAACACTAACCTCCCTAGCTAAGAATTGAAATGTTTCATTCCCTATTTTTGTACTGACCATTCTTTATTTTCCAGAGCTATGTTATCGAGCTTATGACAATGTGAACCAAAATAATTAGACCCCTCACACCTTGGTGGACGTAGCATAGTTGGCCGAATGAACTCAACTATGTGAGTAAGTATACAATGTTGGAGGAAAGCAAAACAAACGTAACATACGTCGTCGTAACAATAAGTCCCATTTGGAGCTCCCTAGATAAGTGCAGAAAAATCTGTAGCTATGTAACGACCTGGAGACCTCCCCATCTGAAGATAGTTCACCATGAAAAATGTTCCAAAAATATAGTTTCATTATGTAAGTGAATCAAGTAACTTGTTTGTTCGAAAGTTTACAGTGTTTTTCGGAGCTAACTGCTCATTCTAACGTTTAGGCAACAGAAAAACCCCATGCTACCAGTTAAGTACAGTCATACACAGCCCTTGATTCCTGTATCAGTGTCCATGTGAATGTAGCAGCTGTTGAAACTTTCAGTTAACCCACCTGACCATTTACCTTGCAATTCAAACATTACCGGTTCGAATCTGCGCAGACGACCTCGCAGCATTTCTAGCCCGCGCGCGACTGGTTGTGGTCGCGTGGAAGCCACATGTCGGTGTGGTGCACCGGCGTACTGCTTATGTTTTTCTACCTTCCTGATACGACTGGCTGACTAACTGCGTGTTAGATCTATAGTGCTTCTGTGATTGCGTTATGCCTGTATATAAATGAGGCAGAACTAGTCCATTATCCAGTTCAGAAATATTATAGTAAAACAAAAGGTTAAAATTACCAGGTCATATTCTTTGGAGAAGTCAAGTGGGCAACGCTCATTTTCAGGGTCTTCAAAAATGACCGCTAATCTAGAAGAAGACTGCCACAAATGTGCATAGAAATCCTTCTTCGTCAAAGGATAGACGATGAACCGATTGGGGTCCACGACACTGGCTAACGAGTCAAATAATTTGCGGTTAATGCTTTCAAAGTCGCCACCACAGGTAGGTGAGATAATATAATATATATTTGTCAGTGAACGATCTCCAGGGATAGTCTGCAAGGTACGTTCACGAAGAAGCGAAGCAAGATGATTGCCAAAGCGAATGGAACATAGGCCAGCCCAACTACGCATGGCAATCAATCTAAAACCGAGATAAATTAAAATACGGTGAAAAGCAGTGTAGTTGCGTCGTTCTGACCAGACATCATCATCAATACATGTTAGCCGAGCGTGAAAAACATACCAGAGCTAAAGTGCCGCAATACAGAAAAGAGGTTAAAAAGCACAGACTAAAAAAACTATAAAAATTAAAATAATGCTAAGTACCACATTATGCAAACGGTCTAAGATCGCTGTTGGAGGAGGAAGCTAAAGGGGAGCAGAGGGATAAAGAGACTTACCACACAAACACCACTGAGGTCGGCTCCGCCATGTCAACTACTGTATCCAACCAAACGTGTTTATCGTCATTCGGTCCCCAACCCGGCAGTTGAGAAACACTAAGTGACACCAAGTACGAAGTGAGGAACTTCATTCCTCTCGACCAAATCATCGCTGGCCTCCCGTCCACTTCTTCCATCCAGACGCCGGGCACGCAAACAAGGCACAATGCGGGAATTGGTGTGCTGGCATACGCAACATGCGGCTCAGTCCTCGGAGCCTGGGGCGTGATATAATGGTGCTGAGCGGTTCATTCGCTCTTCCTGCACCAAATACGCGACGTCGAACACGCGCATTGCTCACGCGGTGTTCACACCAGACATGCGCCATGTTGCGAAGGCAGCGATGGTCGAGGTAATAAGCCTCTTCAAGTCTATCGACTTGATGGGCCAGGTTTCGCAACCGTACAAGGGGGGTTGAACGGACAGCAGTATTGTAGTCTCTACCCTTCAGAGCGAAAGTAATGTTATGCCGGCACCACAGGTAGCGGAAAGTAACAAGAGCGCCACAAGCTTTTGCTAAACGGTGCGTGAATTCATCTCCGATCCCAGGAACGCTATCAGCTGCCCAGATACTTGAATTTCTGAACGAGTTCAAGGTGGTCACCACCAAGGGTCAGAACAGGGGAGGGTCCCTGCCAATCTTGGATGACTTTTCATATCGAGGGCGCAAAGCATAGCCCAAAAGTCAGAGCTAATTTATCCAGTGCAACTTGGCATATTCGGGAGCTGTGACATATGAGCGCAATGTAGTCGGTATACTCCAAGTCAAGAAGCCGTCCAGCTGGAAGCAGTCACAGCTAAGTCGTGTTAGGCGAACGCCGTTTCCATGACTGCGTCAATAGAGAAATTAAAGAGGAAAGGTGATAGCGGACGTTGTTTCACACCGCTGGAGATATTGAATGGCGGCGAAATTTTGCCGTAAACCCTCACTCTGCCCGAACTGTACACGCACAGGTCCCTTATGACATTTACATTTCTCTCGGGCACATCTTTAGTCAGTAGACAGTCAACCGCATCAAAGGCTCCTTTGATATCAGGAATACACGACTACGGTGGGTCGTCAATAAATATGACGGTGCCCCAACAACTGACGAAATGTGAAAAAGTGGTCGATCCAGCCTGGAGTTCGACGAAACGCGGCCTGCTAATCGCGCATCTGGCCTTCATGGATGCCTGTCAGTCTATGGAGGACGACAGAAGCAAGTAACTTTGAGGCAATGCCAATCACACTGATTCCTCTATGACTGCCACATTCGAAATGGGAGCCTAAATAAAAATTGGGACTATAAGGGAGCGGATGCAGTCTGTCAGGATAGCCTGCTGCCACACAGATTCACTTATAACTTATGTAAATAATCCAAAAAAGCAGATGCCACGAATTCGAAGAGGGCTATAATAGTAATAATAATAATGTGTCAGCTGTACGCCGCAACGGCGCTTCGCTGCCGCGCGACCACCACCAATCGCGCGCGGGCTAACTATACCGCGAGGACGCCAACCCCTACGCGGATTCGAACCGGTGATCTTATGGTTGCAAAGCAAACGTGCAGACCACTCGGCCACCGGCCGAAGAGGGCTAGATGAAGTCCATTTGTTCCAGCGACCTTGTTCAATTTCTGCCGCTTGATTTTTGCCTGTGAGGGCGGATCCAAAAGGATGGCCCAAGGAATAGGGCTGTCATTGGTCGATGGAGAATCCAAAAGTTCTGGCTGATTAACTTGCTTCTTATAGTGTTCGGCACAAAACTCCAGGCGGTTTGATAAACTGTGGATCGAGTGTCCACTCTCGTGACGTATCGTCTCGCAAACACCAGGATTCCTGCTTCCCGTTTCTCGAATCAGACGGAATAACGTCCTAGGGTTATCAAGGGCAGCGGCTGTCTCCATCGAGGCACGATGAGACCACTAGGCTTCAGCCTCCCTTCAGCTTAGCATGCAGTTTTACCCTAAGAACTTTGCGAGTCTCATTGTATCCACTTTCAGCCCAAACAGGTCGACGAGCATTCAGAAGTTAAAGAGACTGCGTGGAGACCAAATGCCTGGGTTGGTAATTTGATTTGCCACATACCTGCTGCTAATAAATTCTGGCAGATTTGCGGACAGTGACCTTCAAGTGTGCCCAGTGAGCGTTTACTCCGGCCAGAAGCCAGCGTACTTTGATACGCATCCAGAATAGCTAGCTTCGCCATCATCAACAGTAACATTATAAACATTAGCTAAAGGTGGAAAACACCTCAGCCAATGTGCCGCAATACATAAAAAACGTGCATGATGCATGCCAGCTGAACTACCAGCAACGGATGAGCATTGTTCCGGAAAGCTAAAAGCCGGCAACTATGAAGCAAAAAGAACCTTATTACGCAAGATTATATCATGCTAAGAAATGAGATCGTGGAGGGGGAGACTAAAAAGGATAGAGTGGGAAAAAGAAACTCACAGCACGAACGATAAAGAAATCGGCGCCAAACCATGTCAGCAGGTGCATTCAGCCAAACGTGTTCATCGTCTTTCAGACCCCAAAGGACGGAGTCGAGACGCTGCAACCGAGGACAGTTTCGAAGTACGGGCCTTCATTCCTCACTTGGCCGACTCTCCTCTTCCTCTATTCACACCCCGGCGCGCAAACAACGCACGTCGCGGGAGTCAGGGGGCTGGCATGCGTAACACGTGGACGAGCCATCGGAGCCTAGTGCATGAAATGACGGTGCTGAGCGGTTCAGTACCTTCTCCTGTGCTGTAAACAAGGCGTCGAACACGCTCACTGCTCACGCGGGATTCCCACCAGATGTTAGCTAAATTGCGAAGGCATCGGTGGTCTTTATGTCCGCTGATCTGATCGAATAGGCCAGCTTTCACAACCCTACATTAGGGTCGAACGTACCGCTACATTGTACATTCTACCCTTCAAGGCAAGAGTGATATCGCGCTGGCGCCATATGTGGCGAAGGCTATCAAAAACACCTCGAGCTTTTGCTATACGGTTTGTGATCTCATCATCGGTCCTAAGGGAGCTGATACAACTTCCCATGTAGTTAAATTGTTGAACGACTTCTAGATGATCCCCACCAAAGGTCAACGCAGGAGGCGGTCCCTGCAAAAACTTGGATGAAAGTTTTGTACTTCGAGGGTGCAAAGCAAAACCCGAAACGGCTGACAACCAGTGCTAATCTTTCCAGTGCAGCCTGGCACTTTTGTGAGCTGTCACATATGAGGGCAATATCGTCTGCATGTTCCAAGTCAATAAGTCGTTCTCCTAGGAGTAGCTCCACACTTTCTAAGTCGTATCCTGTGAACGCGATCTCCATGTTTTCCATAATAACGAAGATAAAGAGGAATGGTGACATCAGGCGTCTTTGTCGCACACCGCTAGAGAAATTGAAGAGCGGTGACAGCTTGCTGTAAGCCCTCAATCTGCCCGAGCTACGCGCATATAATGCTCGGATAATATTTACATATATTTCTCGGGCACACCTTTCTTGGGTAGATAGTCGCAAAGGGCACATCAATCAACCGAATCGAACGCACCTTTGATATTGAGGAACACGATAAGGATGGGCCGTCAGTAAGTGTGACGGTGCTCCAATAATCGATGCAAAATGAAGATGTGGTCAATGCAGCCACGACCTCGATGAAACCCGGTTTGCTCCTCACAAATCTAGCTTTCACGAGTGCCGGTTAGTTTGTGAAAAAGGCAAGTAATTTAGAGGCGATGGGGATCAGACTGATTCCTGTATGGTTGCTGCATTCCGCGAGCGAGCCTGCTTTGAAGGTCGGAACAATAAGGGAGCGGCTCCAATCGGCTGCGACAGTTTTCTGCTCCCATAGTTTCACTAGTAACTCGCGTAAATCATCAGCAAGATCAGTTCCCTCGAATTTGAAGAGAACTGGATGAAGATCATCTGGTTTCGCGGTTTTGTTGAACTTCAACAGTCCGATCTCACGTTCGACTTCTGAGCGAGAAGGTGATGCAAAGGGACAGCCCAGGAATAAGGGCGATCACTGGCCGGTGAAGAATGCAACAATTCCAGCCGATTAAATTGCCTTTCAAAGTGCTCAGCCTAACGCAGCAAGTTGTGCATATGGTGTCCACTCTCGTCGCGTATACTTTTATAAAAACCAGGTCTCCTGTCCGTTTCCCGTATTAGACGGAATAACTTTCGATGGTTACTAAGGGCAGCTGACATTTCGATCTCTGAAGTAAAATGAGACCACCAGGATTCGCGGTCTCTCTTCAGGCTAGCACGGAGTTTTGCCCAGAGCTCTTTGTGGGTTTCATTGTGTTCGCTTCCAGCTGGAATATGCCGGCGAGCATCGAAAAGTTCCAGAGACTGTGAAGAGACCCACATTAGGATTTTCCTGCTACTTGTAAGGTCTGGTGAATATGAAACCAGTGAGCTTCAAGTAGATCTAGTGAGCGCTTACTCAACTGCATGTCAGCGTATTTCGATACTCATTCAGAACAGCTGGCTTCGCCAATTGAATGGTATCAATGCGCTCACAACGTCGTCGTGGGCGTCTGCCAAAACGCATCCGCATGTCAGCACATACAAGTGCATGGTGGGTGTCCACACCTGTGCTCCAAATCGAGCGACAGTTATGGATGCAGCCTCTCCAGCGGTAACTGATTGCAATGCGATCGACTAGCGTAAAAAGCTAGTCCGAGGCTGGTGGGTGCCAAATCATCCTTCGGCGGGTGCTGA